CGACTATAAATCTTGCATACCAAACAAGGGGGGGTGGTCATTAAAATATGAAGTTTTCCCAAGATTAAAAGGATTTTTGGTTAGCAGTTGGGTTTTGAGAAATAGTAAGGCAATTTTATTGACAAGTTTTGGGTTATTTAGGTATGTTTTCTGAATTCAGTTTTAGTTAGGTTTTGTATAAAAAGAAAGATTAAATATTTCTAAGAATATTGAAGACTTGCTTTAACTTTTTGTGTATTCCTTAAGAGGGCAGATAAAAGAGACATTTTTCATTTGATTTTCTAAGTTCTTAGTCTATAATTTCTAGGAACGTTCACTGTTATTACTTTTGAAAAAGGAAAGCCAATATTTAAACTACAAAGCTTGGCATATCTTTTAACTCCCTTCATAAACTTCATAAAACAAAATATTTCTCAAAGAATTTTCCTAAATTTTCCTAGACTTTCTCTTATCCAAAAAACATTGTCAGTTTCCCAGCTCAGCTAAAATTGAATTTCACTTTAATCAGGCATTTCTAACTGAGTTTATGATTGGGTGGAAGGAGAGTCTTCGGAAATGGAAAGCAAACATTTTGCGGATGCAACACTGCATATCCTGCCTGCCTGCCTGCCACCCCAGAGGAAGATGCCCAAAAAGCTTCCCCAATTTCAAGTCGATTTTTGTGTTGTCCCTCTGCCGCCTTTTGGTCTTCGTTGTCTGTATTGTAATTGAATTCTACAACAACACAATAAATTTTAGGCACTAAACGGAAAAGGCGATGGCAACTAGAGGGTTAACATGGGGGGGCCAGAGCGATGCCAAAACGTGCAGACAGTTGGGGGGAAGGGGAAGAGTTCGATGCTGGACTGCAGTAAAAAGAGAAAATTTAATTTCTTGCTTGAATAATAAATCACAAACATAAACAGCGAATGTGAGGGGGGAGTAGGAAAGGGGGAGAAGGGAGCTGAGATGTCGCCAGATAAAAAACCTCATGGATACATCCTTTTTCGAGGGAGAAACGATTTTCGACTGCTTTATTTTTTGGGCAATTTGAAATTCGTTGTCGATGGCCAGCCAGAGTTGCCATCGCTCTTATCAAAATGCCATTTCCTGGCCAAGGCAACTCTCAGGGCGAACAGCGAAAGGGGAACGGAAGTGGGCGAAAAGCGGAGCGGAAGTGTCGAGTTTCGAGTGTCGCTTTATTAAATTTTTACGCAAATGCTCGACACGCTTATATGAATAACAATATATATATATACATATATATTCCTATACAGTCGCACATGGATATAAAAAAGAAAGGAAGAATAATATTTGGCGGTTGGGGGATATATCTCCCTTGCTGATTTCCCCCTCCCCACCTTCATTCTTATGCAAATGAAAAGTAAAAACTTTTATGTGCACATTTTTTATGGTTTTTTATGGACCCCCCAGCAGTAGTGGCTGGCTGCCGGCTGACCCACTCAGCATTATGCAACAAGCCGCTGTGATTTCGCTCTTTTTATGACATTTATGCAGCCTCCAGACAGGCCCGAGAGACATAAATATTGTTGCAAAGCCAAAAACAAATAGTAAACAGAAATTACAATAATATGCAATAATGCAAAAGGACAACAGCGGACGGGGCCGCAGACGGAGGGCACACACACACACATTTTGAACAAATAAGGGGCACTGGAAACAATTTTGGGACTTCTTTTAAGTAAAAGTTAAAGAAAACAGAGAGTAGGTAGAAAAGAAACCTACTTTGGTTAAGGAAACTTCCTCAAAACCAACTTATTCTACTTAAGATTAAGTTTAAGCTCTGAAATCCTTAAAGAACATACATTTTCCTTCAGTGCACTCAAAATAGTGTGGAATGGGAAAGGCTCTGCACACTCCCCTGGCACACTCACTTTGTATTTGTCCCATGTGTGCGTGGCTTTAAGTCAGCGGGAGGACGTGACATCCTTGCATAGCATTTGCATAACTATATCAACAAGAGACCCTGGTCGAAGGACGAGTTGGAAGGTGGTGGAGGGAGGGCAGGGGAATACCAGACATCAGCGACAGCCTCCGCGGACATCTGCCTCCGCCATATCTATCCCCCTCCAGGATCCCCTTCCCACAGTGCTATTTTTATCATTTTTTTGCAAGTGCCTCTCCTTGATGCGCTTGCATAATTTTCATTGTTTTCATTTTACAAGCAAATTTCCCTCAACTTATCTTCTCTTATTTTAGTTCCAGCACTTTTTATTCGGCGACAGCTTCCTGTACTGATTTTTGTTTGCATTTCAAGATTTTCGCGTCACAGATTTTTCACATTTCATACAAGAGCTTCTCTTTTTTGTGGCAAGATATGTGTGTGGAAGGGGGGAAATGCAATAAAACTTTATACGAAGGCGTTGAAGGAGGAAACATAATATATGGTAAAGGGGAGGAGCAGCCACCGGCGAGGGTGATAAAAAGAGTTGAGTGGAGAGAATGGAATACTAAATAAGTTTATGGGGTGTGGCGAAAGGTAACCAAGGGAGCAGCAGGTAGATAAAACTGAAGTGGGTCAGGTGTAGATAAGAAGGGAGAAGGTTTTCGGCAGGAAATTTAAGTTACCCAAAAAAGTCTTAAGGAAATATCTTAAATGTTACATTTTCCCAAGAATAACCAAGCCCTTAAAGTCATTTTAGATCTCATTCCGCCCTAATTCCCTTCTACAAGCCCAATCGATATCCATAGCCAAGCATAATAATGGAAATAATAATAATCGTTTTGATGACCCGAAAATATCCTTGCCAAAAAATGGCAACTTTCGCATTGCCACTCTCGTATCCAATTATCGTTGCCAAAAAGCCATATTTCCTGCCTGACATTTGCTGGCTGCTCTGGGCACTCACACACACACACACATAAACTAGCAATTCAATATAAGGGCTTTCTAAGGCAGCCAGCAGCGAATATCCAGCCCTTTCCCCTTTGAGTTTGCTCTCATTTTCCAATTTTACAGGCACTTTTCCAATGCTCAGTCAATTTTGCAAATCAAATGCTTGCCATCGTTTGTTGTTCTTCCTTCGCTGATTTGCCAGGACAATATATATATATATATATCTATATATAAATAGGAGAAGACGACGCCAAATGCCATTCCACTTGAGCGACTAGACTGGATAGGAAGTATAAGCACAGCTCTAGGAAGACTAAAAGGAGAACATTTTGAAATATATATTCTGTTTTATTGAAGTTTTTCTTTTATTTGGCTCATTTATGGCGCATATTGCGCATTTAATCGCTGTCAGCATACAGAGATGCCGAGCTTAGGATGTGAATCCCTCTATGAGGCACTGAAAAGAAAATCTAATGTTTCAAAAATGAACTTCAAATAACATTTGAGCATTTTCTTACTACCATTTCATAATAATCTCTCCAAATAGTAGCAATTTTCTTTTAACTAAATGATAGAGAAGTGTTTTTTTCTTGCCGTGCTGGGACTTTGGCTCATCTTTCAACGGCAGCTCGTCAGCTTTTCTTTTCCTCCTCCTCCGCCCCATTCACTCTATGGCTCTCTGTGGGCCGCTCAAAGTTTTCTTTTCTACAATCAGCTGCTGTTGAATTTTTAATTTTTATGTTAGTAATTTTTCAAGCATTCTGCTGGAATAAGGAAAACTCTTGCCGGAAGAACATCTTGCGAGCGAATATTAAATTTTTTATGATTCGGCGGGAGGCGCGAAAGAGGCGGAAAAAAGGAAATAAGTGAAAAGAAGTAAAGTCGAATGGGAAACATGTTGCGAATTTACAATTTAGTTTCAGTGCGATGTGTGTCTTTGGGTTTCCTTTTTTTTTCGAATGGAAAACGAAGCTTCAATCTTTAAGAGCAATCTCTTTAAGCAAAGCAATTTACAGCGCTGCTGCAACTTTGTTATATAAATAATCCAAGCGAAAGCAGATGATGCTGCGCTGCTGCTGCACCTGAGTTGGAAAACATTCGCCACACCCATATACCACCGCCCCCCGCTGGTCCACTAGGAAAAGTCAGTCACGGTTACGTAGCGAACTGCAACTGGGGGGAAAAGCAAACATAATTTAAAATGTAATTAGTGCTCAAATAGAAAACCAAACAAACAGCCAACGCAGCTGGGCGGGGCGTGAACTCGTAGGTAAACCCAAAACCCAGGGCTCCCGCAAAGTCAATGAATGAAGAAATATCATCAGCAGGTTACTAGGTGACCCAGTCCCAGATTTCGCACCTGGAGCAGAGGCATAGCCCACCTGCGTTCCACCTCCGCCAGTGCGAAACTTTGTCCTAGACCAACTTTCACCAGCTGCTGCTGCTGCTGCTGCTGTGGTTGCTTTTGAAACATTTTATTATAACGAGTCTGAGGTAAACATGGCACAATTTCCACAGCCCGATTTCCCATTCATTCAATCTGGCCATTTCAAGGTTGGCCAGACTCGATTTATTTCGGCCAGAGATCCTGGGTTCCCTCGTCCTTCATCCTATATTGATGATGTGCATAATGAGTTGGCCAACAGAATTTCTTTTCCTTTTCCATTCCTGCACCTTTTGTGCTCATTAAGGAAATGAGAAATGCCAAGACCATCTAGCAATTATTTTCCTACGCTGACAAAAAGGCATTGAAAAGGTTTTTCATTCTGCCAAGAATGATTTTTAATATCAGATTTAGTTAGTAATAGGTTATGGTAACCCCAAATAGCGTTTGCCCATTAAAATCTTCTCTCAAGACTCCCAACTCCTTGGGAAAGAGTTCTGTTAATGCCATCTTAGATAGCCTTTTTGTACATAAATAGTCCGGGTGTACATAAATAGTCCTTTGAGCAGCCTGCCATCCACTTCCAACTCACTTGTAGGTTGTTGGCGGGGCCACTAATTTGGTTTTTAAGTGGGTCTGCTGCTGCTACTACGACGACTGCTCATTAAGCGGCTCTTCCTTTGCATTTTGGCCTTTACTTTAGGTCTTTACCTGCTTCACTTTGTTTTGGCCTCGTACTCAAGTATTCCGTTTCCGCTTTGTTTTCTCCTGTATTTACAGACTGGCGCAGCACGGACAGCACCGACCATCATGATCGCGTCCAGAGACAGCTTTCCGTGTCCTCTGACAGCAAATTGCTGGACGAGGACATCCGCGAGGAGATGAAGTACCATTCGCACGTGGTCATGCGTCCCAAGAAGCCGCCCAGACCCAAGTCCGAGGTCTTTCTGAACAAGCAGGAAACGCATCCGCGACGCAAACGATTCAGTGCATTTGGTGTAAGTATTACTTGGTATTTTTCTATAGCATACTTAACTGTGCGCTGGTTTTTCGCTTCGGCTGACCCTATAATTCCCAACTGTTTCTAGCTGCTTTGGCATGGAGTTGGCCATGCTGAGCGCAGTTTAGTATTGAAAATTTTTATTCTCTTTGAAATTTGTCTTGTTGGGACCCTTTGTCTAGGCATTGAGAGTTCCCGTTCATAAATAAATGTCAACTACTAATTATAATATAAGGATTTAAACTTAAATTAGGCTTAATTGATATGATTAAGCAAGCTTATTATTATTAGAAGTTGTCTTACCTTAACTAGAACAGTACGCAAGTTTTGTGGTGAAAATTGAGCAGTATTAATGGTTAGAATAAGTAAATCAAAAAAATATTCTGTTTTGAGATTTTGTATTGGATTTTGAGATTTTTTTGTCTTAAATATGAAAATCTAGTTGTCAAAATGGTTGTAGCGCCGTCAGCAAATTCTACGGCAATTTAAGGAACTGCATACACTTCAGAGTTAAACATTCCATAGCATACTTTTAGGCACTGCCAAAAAATCTATCACTTCAACCTTATAAAACAAAAGCCATTAAGGATACAAACAAATGTTTCTGCTTTGATAGGTCAAAAGCCAACTTTACATAAAGCAATTAATTAAAAAGCCAAAAATAATTCCCTTCTGAAAAATTACCATTGTAAATATATATGGAAAACTTAATTTGAGCGCATAAAAACAATAGAAAGTTTAAAAAAAAAAACTTGTTTACCCTGCGAGTCAACTTCATATTAAGTAATTAATTAAACAGGCTGAAATATTCCCTTGTATGCCTACGGAAAACCAACATAAGCTTTTGCGTAATTGAAAAACAAACTGAAAACAAACATGTGGCTTTCCGAAGTGGGTATTCATTCCCGCTGATTACATCACGCGCTAATGTAATGCGAACTGAACCGCACACCGAACTAACTTTGCTTAATTAATTAACAAACATGATACATTTTTCACTCAACTCCATTTGCTTTCTTTTTTTCTGCTTTCCCACAGGGCGACTCCCCATTTGGCAAGCAGGAGGCCTATGTCAAACTCGAACCGCTGGGCGAAGGGTCCTATGCGACGGTCTACAAAGGATTTAGCAAGTGAGTACCACTCCTAGATATAAAGGGTCTCCAAAATTGGGTTGCCGTGTCAGTGGGTTAAATAAAAAATTATTGCCAACATATCTCAGCTTGAATTCTGTGATGGACCACCCCGATCAAAATGGATTTCCCTCTTCTTTTTTTTAAGCTGGCAAAAAATGTGTGTCGTCATTTTGCCTTGATTTATTCGCTAGTTTCCCTCATGCATCCGTCGTTTTGCCCAGCTATTTTCGGAGCTCTCCTTTCTGGCTTCCTCTCTGAAACTCAAACCCAAACCTCCGATTCCTTTGTCCCCGTTGGCAGACTCATTACAGCCAGAGCCATGCAAATGTGGCTATCAATCACGGCCAAAGGAAAGGATGGCAGGGGTTGGTCAGGGGGCAATGTGGGTCACCCGACGGGATAAGGAGATTGCACTGGCAGCAGCAGTAGCAGCAGGAATGTCCTTTTTCCCGCTTCCGTTTCTTCCTTTTGTCCCCAATTGTTAACTTGGCCTAACTCCGCACTGAGGAAAATCCTAAGGAAGTTCTCTTAGTCAAGCAAATCCTTACATTAAGTTTAAAATATTACACTGATGTTTATCTCAGTGCACAGCACGCACTTTTCTGAAAACTTGCCCCACAATTGAGTTGGCTTCCTTGGGTTTTCCATAGCCTATTTCCCTTTACCCCCAAACCCCACCCTGGAAAACATGGCAGGACAAAATGCTGGCTCATTTGCGCCTCGCCTGGCACTGATTTCAGTTGTTTAAGAAGCTGAAGTTGGAGTTTTGGGGTCGTTCCTTCATAATTTGACAAATGGGCCTGGGAAAGCGGGGAGAGAGGGAACCGGATTCGTCACCTTTTTGACAGGAGTCCCCTGTCCTGCTTCTCCGATGATAGATGCCACCCAATCCCCTTTTTTTTTCGCCTGTCACAGCCACTTGCCCCCTGGTTTTCCCACCCCATTTTCTCTCACACACACTTCATCTTGTGTCTCCCCTTTGTTTTTGATTTATTTGACAATCATTTGCTTTGGTGTTGCCTCGAACTTCTTCCTTTAACAATGGAAATTACGTGAAAAGCGAACAGCAAGTTGTTTGACAGCCTCTTTGGCTGAGTTCTGGCGCTTTCCATCCCTATTGTTAACCTACAGCTCCTAGTTTTCCCGGCTTTCCTTTTCTCATTTGCTATGCACGACGGCACTTACATGCGAAATGAGTTCCAATTAGCCTTTGTTTATACGAAATGCAATTAATTCGCTCTAATTTATCTGCCAAATGGAAATGTGACCCCCCAGTTTTTGGCTTTTACTTTTCTTCTCTCTTAGGCCTGCCTGGCCTGGCTTTTTGTTTAGAGTCCTTTCGCTGTTAGCCTGCGACTCCTTGCGCTCAGTTTGTTTTTTTTTTCAGTCTTTTCAAATGGAAATTTAGGTCACTTTCCTTCTCCAAGATTTATGCTTCCTCTCGGACTGCTTTTTTCATCTTCTCCTGCTGTGGAAATCTCCCAGCTCTAGATCCTTTTCTGTTTGTCAATTGTAAAAGATTTCATGAATGATTTCACTTCTATTTGACTTTCGTTTTCCCTTGCCTTGTCCTGGTTTTCTTTGTGTTTTTTTTTTTTGGGATTTTTCGTACTATTTCCTACCTATGCAAACACTGAAAAGGGCAAGAAATCAAGCCAAGAGCCGTCGAGCAGAAAGTCAAGTTGCTGATTAGCATTTAGTAGGTCAGCTTTCGCCATCTGGCGGGGGGAAACTTCGATTGCGAAAAGTTTTCCCGCAACTTTGATGGGACACGCAATTTTCGGTTTATGCTTAGCTAAATCGTATTATTTTAACATTAACAAGACAAACTTTGCTCTCCAGCCAGCAAATCCTCTTCACAGTTCCCCACCATTCGGCGGTTTATATAAAATTGTATAAAAATTTAAGGGCTTTTCTAGTGCACAGATAAAAATTAGTATATAAAATGTTAATGTAAAAAATGTCTTAAAAAGAATTTGTTTTAAGGAGTACAAATTTACTATAAAGTTAGACTAAGAATAAACTATAATTTTAGTATAAAAAATCACTGCTTCTGCGTGCTAACCCCCTTTCTGTTCTGTGTAAACGTTTCCTGGGAAATTTCCCTTTGCCTGGCAGCTGTTTTCGCTTACATGGAAACTGCTCGGGATGCGGCAAGGACATAAGCTTTTTATAGCATTTTTCTCAGGCTCCTAGAGGAGGGTTTATTAACCGAGTGTGTTTTAGAATACATTTTGATGCAACATAAAAGGTTTAATTCGCCGCCACTCGAAGATATTCTTCGGTAAAATGGAAAATTTTGAGCAATTTTTATGTATGCGATAAAAAGTTTAGGCGAATACTTACTTGGGAGCTAGAATTTACGAGGCTGCTCGACAAATTGATACGCTTGAGTTCAGCCATCAGGAGACCTCATCATCATCATTAACCCTCGCTTGCCCAATTAGCTGGTGGCGTGATAAATTCTAGCCCCTAAAAACTTGCACTTTGACATATTTGAGTGACATCTTCATCCATGCCCTGCTTGAGTCGTAATAAAAACTTTCGTAGATTCACTCTAGCTTCTGCTCTTAAAGTCAACTACTTTATGGTAAGATGTGCCTTCTTTTTGGGCCGCCTTTTGCCTTGCCAATTAGAATGTTGACTCGGCAGTGCGAGAAAGCCGCATAAATTGCCAACGTCTGTGCGGCAGTGTCAAATAATTTAACCTAATTTGACACTTCAAATGTCCTCCGCTGTGTCCTTTCCTTGCCGCTCTCGACAGCCTCTGCAAAGTGTTGTCGTTTTTTCGAAGAAGGATATATGTTTTAGCTGGAAGGGATTTACCCATTTAAAGATTTCTAATTGAGTTAATGAGTTTGTGGAAAAGCTCTTCAGACTTAAAGAGTAATTCCTTTCATTTTTAAGAAGTCTTAAGTTATTTTTTTTAGATCCCTGAAACCTTTTTTCCTCCTACAATCTCAGCTATTTATCACGAAAAGAAAGAAGCTGAGCTGCCATCACTGCCGCCATGGTGTATCCTGGCTGCTTTTCCATGTCCTGTGGCCTGTCCCTTATCCTAATTTAAGTGTTTGCCGTACATTTCCCTGCGTGTTGGGTCGTTATGTCTGTTTAATATACAAAGGCTCCCTACCCTGCCTCCCCCACACAGACCCACCCAACACATATCCTGACTTTTGGCCAGGACAGGGCGACATTTTGGGTTGGGTTCCTACCACAAATTGTGAGCCTAATTCTTTGTTGCCTCGCCGGCAGCTGTGCAATTGTTGTTCTTGTCGGACATTCCAGCTTGAGTATTTATTTTATTAATTCCCCGTCCCCCATTTTGTTTGGCCCACAGATTAACCTACCAGCGGGTGGCGCTGAAGGAGATTCGGCTGCAGGAGGAGGAAGGAGCTCCGTTCACCGCGATTCGCGAGGCCTCGCTGCTGAAAGAACTGAAACACAGCAACATCGTCACGCTGCACGACATCGTCCACACGCGCGAGACGCTGACCTTTGTCTTTGAATATGTGGTAAGTACTTGGAAGAAGCCACAAAATGTTGAAAGGAGCGAAGATTCCATCATTAATACTTCTTTTTTGCTCATACCTGGTACTACCTTTCCTTTTCCAGAATACGGATCTGTCGCAATACATGGAGAAGCATCCGGGCGGCCTGGACCATCGCAACGTGCGTCTGTTCCTCTTCCAGCTGCTCCGTGGACTCTCCTACTGCCACAAGCGGCGCGTCCTCCATCGGGATGTCAAGCCGCAGAACCTGCTCATCAGCGACTGCGGCGAACTGAAGTTGGCCGACTTTGGATTGGCCAGGGCCAAGAGCGTGCCCAGTCACACCTACTCCCATGAGGTGGTCACGTTATGGTACCGCCCGCCAGGTGCGTCTTTTCCCGAAAGGGTTTTTGCTATGTGAAGTAGGGAGGGAATGGAGGGAGAGAGGTGGAACCTTGGCCAGTTAGTAATTTCACAAATTTTCATTTAAATGTTTGACAGAATTTCTGTAGTTTTGGTGTTTCAGGAATTTCAATTAATATTAATTGGATTGACTGGGAAAATGTAACAGTTTGGAATTTTCACACTTTCCATTGCTAAAATTCTTGAAAAAGGCTGCAAAAAGCTTGAATTTTTTCATATACAATTTGTATTTCCCTTCTCCCTTTAATCCCTTTGAAGTTAAACATTTGAAAGCCTTTTCATGTAAGCTTCTCACAGCCAAAAAAGAAGGAAAACCAAACTAGTAATCACTTTTCGGAAAAGCAAACAATTTGCAGCTCGAAGCTTAGCCCAGGCGCAAAGTCGAACCAATTTGAAAAGCGCATTAAATTATTTCGTTTGTTTTCTGCACTCAAAGCCAATTAATTGGCGTTCATAGAGGCTGAAAATTGTTAGCTTAGTCGGAGAGATTAAATGAAAGCCCTGCCCTAAGATCCTTCTTCCCCGGACAATGGGTAAACAAATCACTTTGCATGGCAAAGATTTTCCATCAATTTGCTGGCCAGCTAAATGGAAAACTAAAACGAACGAGTATAGAGCGTGTGGGAGAGACAGAAAGGAATAAAGTTAATTTTTTCTAATATGCAATTCCCTGGGCATAAACACTTTGTGTCGGATGGCATACCTGAGAGCTGCTATCCTCTGACCCCTGACCCCTTGACCCGTGGGCGCCATCAACCTTAGTTGGGGGAATAGTTCGGAAGCATGTTAAACAAATTTAATCTGCACTTCTTGGCAGACAACGCCGGCAGGCAAAAAGCGGAAGCATGCAAAAAACAAAGGTAGGGAGGGTAGGGAGAGCGGATGTGCAGATGCGGATGTGGTTGCTATGGGCACCTGTCGCCACCTATGTGAGGGAAATCTCTTTGTGGGAGGTGAACAGGTGCATAGGTGAAGGTACTCTTCTTAAAAGGTTTTCTGAGTTTTTAAGGGTTGTTGAATATTTTTGGAATTTAAATTAGAATTATAAAGCATTTTAGTTTATATTTTTTTAATTTTTCCGATCCCTAAAACTTGTCCTATTTACCCAATTTGTTTGTAAACCTTCAGCAGAAGTTAAAGTTAGTTTTCCAGAGAAGTAGTTCCTCTTACTTAAACGAAAACACACAGTGCCCTTACCAGAAATTTAGTATGTGCCCCTGGGAGGACTAAACTTTGTTAGCTGCTGGCCAAAAAGCGGCAGCCAAGATAAACACAAAGGTGCACAGGAAGTGCAGAGCTATCTCTTCCTGGAACTCCACTCTCTCCCTCTCACCCTCTCCTGCTTTTATTTATTTAAAATGGCAATTTATTTTGCAACAAATGTAAGGTAACACAGAAGTGCATTTACTTACCAGAGAGAGTTCGTGACCATTTCAGATGTCCTGCTGGGCAGCACCGAGTACTCGACCTCGCTGGACATGTGGGGCGTTGGCTGTATCTTTGTGGAGATGGTGACCGGGATGCCGACGTTTCCGGGCATACGTGATACCTATGATCAGCTGGACAAGATATTCAAATTGCTGGGCACACCCACTGAGGACACGTGGGCGGGGGTCACCCACTTTCCCGGCTATAAGCCGCACAAGCTGGGTTAGTAATTGGCCAGAAGGCTAAATGCTGCTACGTTGAACTCCAGAGCTAATTTAACTTCGGTGCTTTTACGTACTGTTGCAGGTTTCTATCGACCGCGGAAACTGGGTCACAACTTCCCACGACTGTACGACATCATCGAGGGCGAGACGATAGCGAACGGCTTCCTGCAACTGAATCCGGAGCAGCGTTTGGGCGCCGATGATGCACTGCAGCATCCGTACTTTGCGCAGTTGCCAAAGAAACTCTACGAATTGCCAGACGGTGAGTGCTGAAAATTGAATTAATGCATTAAACATTTACAGGCCCGAATAAAACTTCCTCGGCCATCGTCTGTGGCCGAAAAGAAAACCAATTAACAAAGAGAAAAAGGGGCAAAAAGAAAGGATGAGAAATGTTTGGCCAAAGTTGGGAGAAAGTCAGGGGAAAAAGTGCCGTGAAGGTAGACCATTCTTTATCAGGACAACTCATTTAAGTTTCGCGACAATTTGTTTGCCTTTCGAGGAGCAGCAGTTCAGTTTTCCTTGGGCTGAGGGGCCTGCTTAGCGAGTGTTTCCGTGGTGTAGTTAACAGTAATTGCATTTGCCAGTTTTAATTTGTATTTCAAGTGGTGGCAAAAGTTTGCAACAAGTTGGCCAAAATAAATACCGAATGCAAAGGACAACTTTGTTGGACAAATATTTCGTCTACAGACAGAAAATCAAGTTGGTCTGCTAATTAGATTGCGATAAGTGAACATCTGAATGTTAACCAAAACCTTTCCCATACAAATTAACTTCCCAATACTTGATTCTACTTCTATATAGTACGATATATATAAGCAATTATCTTTGCCAATACAACTGCAAGTTGCCTAACATTTTCGAGTAAATAAAATGCACAGTAACTTCCGTTTTTCCTGAGGGCCTGCATTCATTAGCAGACCTTCTATCGGATGCCACTCGGTAAATGGAAACATTTCCCAAAAATGAGAGAAAAGGAAATCCAAGGGTCAGCCCCCCCAAAACCAGCAGCAAGTTGCGGGCTATGCAATTTGGCAAATGCAATGCAGGGAGTTTTGCGGAAAAATGGGGAACACAAAATCAACTGCAATAGAAAGGGCTTTAAAGTATATATAGCCAGAGAGAGGGAGAGGGAGAGAGAGAGAAAATGCATTGGGAAAACCGAAAATAAATGAATGAAGTGCAAATGCCCCTCGCAGGACTTGCACTTAATCGAGGGCAGCTTAAAGTGTGCTTAAAATGCGATTAACGCGTGATTTGTTTACACAGAACTGGTTCTATTTTTTCTATGCACACAAATCCTGATAGGGAGCTATGCTAATTTCTGGCTAAATCACAGTCGTATACCCCCTAGCTCATTACGAGAAGGGTGCTGGGTTGGTTTTCCCGGGAATTTTCCGTACGCAGCGTGGACAGATAGAATCAATTAAAACGCAACTAATGCGCTTCATTTATCATGGCCAGGAAAAGGTCATCACACCCCGTGTGCGGTTTTGTGGTTTAGCTTGGCATACTCACCGAGTACTACTGTGCAGATAAACCAAGCTACTGGCACAGTAAATATTGGTTTAGTGAACTGAACTAAAGCTTAAACTAGATTTGTAATGAGATTCTTGGGGAAAGCTATGACAGAGAAGAGATTCTTACAGGAAAATAGGATTTATCTCTCAGATAACTTCACTTCACAGAATGTTTACTGTTTAGAGTATTTACTGTACACATTCAACTGAGTTTTGTGCGTGGTCAGGGCGCCTGGCAACTGCGGGAGTACATCATGTGTGGCTGCAAAATGTAATTCCGCCAATGGCAATTTTAATTGTCGGTCGCTCGTCGATGGCCGTAAATTAAATTATGTCATGGTCAGAGTCCAGGCTGCTGTCATAATTCAAACTTTTTAATTGCAAATAATATTATTAAATATATATATATGTTTTTTAATAATTACAAATGTCCTTTTTGTCTCGCCCCCCACAAACAGAAACCTCAATTTTCACCGTGGAAGGCGTGCAGCTTTATACGGAGCCAAATCGACAGAATAAATGAAAATTAAAGCAAGTCCTCTCTGTGGATGGCGTACGTTTCTACTGTTAGGATCCCAGTCCCTAACACCCATCACCCAATCACCAACCTCCTGGACTATCAATCTGTCAATCAACCTATCGCATCATCCAGCAATCGACAGCCATATATATAATGCAAGAAGGAACTTCGAGCGAGCGGGCCGAAGTTTTGTACTATAATTCTATGATACTTTTTAGTTATTAGTTCGATTTCGCAGTGAGTTTAGCTGAGGGAGTTTAGCAGAAGACACGGCAGACAAAGGCATTTTTTAATTTCAGTCAAAAAGTTAGTTTAGATTTCTCCTGGCCATCGCTGCAGCCGCGTCGAAAAGGATACTCAGTTTAGTCAAGGCGCATGGTTTTTTCTGTATTCTTTTGTAAGCTAAAACAAAAACTTACTTTTAAAGTTAGCTTCTAGTGAGTGCGTTGCCTCCGTGGCTTACGCAATACGTTCGTTTGCAATGAGTGAGAGATAATAATCATCATCGTCATCGTCATCGTCATCGTGTCTGTATTTCGTTTCCATTCTTTGTCCTTAGTTCTTAGTAAACATTTTCGGCTGACAAGTGTTGAATTGCCAATAAAAAATATTAAATTGGTTACTGCTTTAATAGAGTGCAATTAATAAAAGTTAATGGATTGGCGGTAATGAGCCTAAAAATAAATCAATTAATCAACGGAAATGTGCTCGGTAAATTAACGATTATTTCGCAAAAATTCAACAATTATACAAATGTGACTCACAGTCACAGCTCTTTTAAACCCTTCGATTGTATGATTTTGTAGCTCGTCCTTTGTCCCCATCAATTATACAAATTCGCCGCGCTGTTTAAGTGATAATTTTATAACTATTAAATGAATTTATGTAAAAAGCAAGTAAATCAATCTTAAAAGATATGTAAAACAAATAAATTTAAACCATTTATACCATTTATGTTTCTTGATTTTGTTTTTATTTCAATTTTAAGTTATTTTCAGAAAGATTAGCTGCTGCGTGGATGATGATTGAATGAATACCTAGAAATATTTAGTAAAAAAAACAAAGATCAGAGGTCGGGAGGGAGGTCGGCTGGCGGATCATAAGTCATAACATTTTCGAGGCAAACTTAAGCGAATAGATAAACAATTAACTAGCAAAGAAAGCAAATAGTAGAATCAAATTTTTAGCAATCAACCAAAACTAAATTCGAGATAAAATAGCCATCAACTAAACACTAAAGTAGCCTAACCAAGTATTTTAATTAGAGTTCGTAGCGAGAAGAATCGAAAAACCAAGCCCAAATCCATTTCCATAATCTAAGAAACGTAACGTACGACCAGTATTTTGGCCAAAAACGAGAGGACGCCCGACCACTTCGGGTTCTACATTTAAACACAAGAAGTTCAAATGAGAGCTAACAAATGTGCAAATTGAAATCAAAGACACTTCACATGGTTTTGAAACACGTAAATGAATCTAAAATCAAAAACGATTTGAGTAGAACAAGAAAAATAAAAACTAAAAAGTAGAACAAAATATAATATGAATATCGATATAAATCTATTCGAGAAGGAAAACGATGATAACGATGAGGAGGAGCCAATTTGAGTTGTAGGCAATCAAATTGCTAAGAATCTCTGATCAAGACGCGTTTCCAAGGAGATATCAAGCCCGTAAAGTTAGCTGATACTTAAAATAAACTCGATTAGGGCCACGTTTTAATAGCGTTCCATACAACCAGATTATATTTTGTAGCAAAAACTAAAGGTCAAATTTAAACAAACCAAAAATATTTCAAATGAATAAACTTTTTCTGTGATTTATGAAAAAAGTATGCAAAAAGAAAAAAACACTACAGCAAGGTAAACAAAAACACACACACACACTCAAAACAAAGGTAAACAAAAAACTTAATAAAAGATTAAAAATTAGGCACTTTAGAGAAGCAAAACGTAGCTGGGCCAGCAAGATTGTTTAGAATTATTTGCTGAGAGAGGCGAAGTCCATTAAAATCGAAACAAAATTTTGCACGCACACGAAATTTAGCAAAGAGGATGTATACACATTCCTTGATTTTCGGTTCTCTGCAGACAGAATTTTACCCAATTAAATGAATTAATTATAGGAACGCGATCAAAAGGTAACGAAGCATGGCAACGCACTTTTGCACTTTTCCCATCCCGAAGGTTACGTCCATAGTTTATAAGCCAATGAGCCAATGGAACAAATCGAATCGAATCGAACGAAATTAGCCAAGATTGAACTGGTTTTCGTTTTCAGTTGAATGCAATTTTATCACACGAAACACAAATGAATGATTTTTCGAGGCATTTTCCAACCAGAAAAAGAAAAACGCAACTCTAATTGATTATTTTGCACTACATTCGAGCAAAGAGCAAAGCAAACAAAAGCTAATGGAGAAGAGAAAAAAACTAAGCTAATCCCTAAACGTAATCGAAACGAGTAAATAAACTAAGAATGTTTTTAGCGGATCGTATTCTATATAGTATATAGTAGCTAAGCGCGGCAGGGTTAAAACCGCCCTCGGAACCCTGGGGAACGAAAGAGGTAAAAACAAGAATGAGAAACTTAAATATTTTTAATGCATTGAATTTGTCGTAAATATTTAATGTACCTTTGTTAAAAACAAAATAAATCTATTAACACAAATTACGAACTCTCGATGCAGTTAGGCGATAGTTTAGACGGAGCATGCAATTTTTATGTTTACCTCGTAAGCATTTTTGTATAGTTAAACGGAAACTAAAACAAAATCAAATAAGAATGAGAATTTTGTAAATATTTGTAGTTGATTTCTAAGTAGCGAAAGACGAACAGATCAGAATATTCGGCGAGAATAACAACAAAGGCGAGATATATTATTGCGAAATGGAAAAATATTGAATGTTTATAATTTAACAAATGGATGGCAACTAAATACAATTTGAATAAGTTCAACCTGTACAATAATTTAATATTAAATAAAAACTGGCCAAGGCCAATCAAAAGTAAAGTACAGTCTCTATGTTTTCCACTCAATCTTTGATTAATCTCCATGGGCACTGCTATAAATAACAATATGTGGCTAATAATTCTTGATTGCTTTCAAATGTTGGCGTGCTATGAAATTAACTCAGCCCCAGTTCGGGCAATTGAAATTATTCAAGAAGATGACAAGTCGGGCGAAATGATGGTGGCGGAAAATGGGTGGCAGCCATGGGACCCGAGAGCCTTAATTATGTAAATGACACAACTCTTTTTTTTCGACCAAATCGCAAACAATATACATGATGTTGAATGTTAAGAAACCTTTTTTTTTGCCATCCCATGGATTGCGATTGCGTCACCATCCCGGCAATTCATCTTGGCCACAAACTAGCGACTCTCGGAAGAGGTTTGGGCCTGACTTTTGGTATCTAAAGGCAGGCATCTGGGCACGAATTACATGCAGCTGTCTATCTGAAAAGGTTTCCTACGACCAATGACCAACTCGGATGCAGCTGTAAACCTTCAGAAATCCATAAAATCCATAAAACCCATCTCCATTGTAATTGAGCTAAACAATTACAAGTGACATAAGCGGAACAGCAGGAAAATCAAAGGTAAGCTCGTGAACAACTTGTAACTTGAAAGCTGAAAAGCTGAAAAACTGAAAAATGCAATTGCATCCATATTTATTCTGCTCGTGAGTCTTTCATTATTTCCATTCGATGACGGCTAAGGCCAAAATCCATATAAATGAAAAACGCGTATAAATCTATAAATAAAATGTCAACGTAAAGGGGAAAATCACATGGGCATTTACTATGCATTCCGCAACGGCGATTACTCATCGCATACTAAGGTAAGCCCTTTCTTATCGAGCGAGATATGTGGTTTAATAATATGGTAATGTAGCCAAGTTAAGGCCAGCTTACACAAACTGCTTTTGCATATTATTAGCCAGCCAAATGGGCAGTAAGGTGAGGTAAGAGCATCCTCAGCTTCAGTTGCATGAAATTATCTAGCAATTAGCATTGATGACTTAAGACGAGAAGCTTCTCAAATCTAGGTTTATTGCCGGTTAGCAACTTTACGCATTTTGGCCAGCTATTAGATACAAACTAGCAACCTTCTTCTATAATAAGATATCTACTTAATTACATCAAGTTGAAGCTATTGTAAGCTTTATTATTTTCTGTTAATCGAAACTAAGAACCTATAAAAAGTTATTACACATTTTAACCTTAAAGAACATACCTTTTTCCCATTAAATTTACATATAAAACGCATAAAACCTGACTAAAACCCATTGTGATAGGTAATATTATTAAATAATTACAAATAGTTATCGGGGTCTTACCTAGACTTATATATTACCAGAACTAAGCTTTAACTTAACAGATGCATGAGTTAATCTTGGCTAGCACCATTCCCCGCCTAATTAGCATTAAAATGATACCAGAACTAAAGACCAAAGCTAAGCTCAAGACTAGTAGTTCTTGGTGGTGATTCCATCCCCCTTTTTTGCACAGTCAATTAATAATTCTCAGCTGGTGTTCATGGTTCTCTACAAGCCGTTGCAAATTGTTTTGGTCATGATCGGTGTACAAAGTAGACGCCCGAATGATTGACAGCCCAAAAAGGCCAAATAACCGGGGGGATTTTTCCCAGTCTTCTAGACAGATGTATATAAACAAAGACGATCCCTCGACAAAAAACCTACTCTTCAAGCATCTCACGAAAGCTCTTCAACGAGAAAAGCTCCTCTCCCAGTGCTGCGACTGTCGATTGAGACTGAAAATCCGATGAGTTTCTTCGCGAATTTCAAACTGAACGGACGTATTGATCTCGGGGTCTGGCGTGAGACTTCGGATAGGTGTCAAATTCTCATAAGATTGCGAGTGTTTTGTTTGTTTTGAGCGACGCGTAAACAGAGTGACATGATGAGGCCCCAATTAGTGGCGATGGCCATCGTCATGCTGCTGGCCGTGATCTGTGGTTCTGGCACTGGCTCTCTGGTGGAAGTTCCCGAAGTAACCCAGGCACCGCCACTCCCACCACGTAACCCCCGAAACAACCAGACGCGGTCGCGCATGCCCAATAACTTCCGAGTGCGTTACAGTGAGAACACGGCAGATGATCGAAAGAGTGATTAATACAGAAAATTAACAAGCGGCTTCTAAGTGGATACAGATTCCTATTGATAACTGAAATTAAAATGAAAAGTGCTTTTAAAATGATTATTATCTGAATAGCAAACAAGTTTCTAGTCTAACTTAAAAATACTTAAGTGATTAATGCAGATCTAAAGTCTAAGAACTGAAGGCCTAATAAAAGAAACAAAAGCTATAAATAAGCAAAAGTTGATAACGACAAAATAGCAGAAAAATAGAACGCATATAAACGCATAAAGAATACAAGCCAAGAGCTTTCCCTGAAGTGCTTTCAAGTGGCATTCCAAACATTAAACATTGGCAAAAGACCAAGAAAATAAAAGCCATAAATTAACCCTTTGTTCGGCATGCAAAAACCGATTTAGCATAATTCGTGTGTTGTTTGCTCTTTCGATCGTCTACTGTAATGTGAGGCTAATTTCAGGCTTGGTGACTCGCTGCTGACTTTTGGCCAGCAGGTTTCGTTTTGGCCAGAACAAGTTCAATGCGCTGGCCTCGTGTTTGCTAATGTACCATCTCCCTGGTTTTTTCCCTTTACTTTGCCAGGGTCTGGCAGCCCCCACGAGTCCTCCGAGATGCGACTACAGGGAACTGATGACCAATCTGCACGATCGCGTTGGGGTCTTGGTGACCTTGGACGAGGACCAGCGCCACCGCCTGGAAGTCATCGATAAGAAGTGAGAACTGGTTTGACATAGACAGATCATATGAAATATCTTTTTGTAAAAAACCGGTCAAACAATATGCTTTCGGAATCTTTTCGGTGACACTGCGATTTATTTGGCAGATGAATGTAGTCTTTAGTAATGCTCAATAAGTCCATCTTTCGATTATAAATCCATGAATGAAGTAATCGTTGAGAAACATCTGCTGACGCTTTGTGGGTCAAATTTATTGTTATAGATTCGCAGAAATTAGCTGCTGTTTTTCGCACGCATCCGCAGAGTGTTTATAAACTGGCACTCAGCGTTCTGATTGTTTAGTTAATATATTTTCTCTTTTTATTGCCTTCGATCGGTAATTATTTTCCTTTTCTTGATCATTTGAGAATTAAAATCTGCAAATGGCAAGCTGAAATTGATTAACAAGCGGAATGAGAAACACAAAGAAACTTTATCAGCTTCTAAGCAGGGCATTGTTTATTATATATATTCCAGATTGGATCAGCTAGTTGAAAGCAGTTCAGCCAAAATGGAATCTATGAAGGCCCAGCAAATGGACTTCCTGCAGCGACTGGACAGCTTCGAGCACATCCAGCGACTGTCGAGGAACACTCTGGATGAGCTTAAAGGTGAAACCGATCAGGTTTTTGGTCCACGGCGTGTAAGAGAGCTAAAACACAAGCTCAACAACCGCAACAAGATGAAGGGTAACCCAGTAGCAAGTTTACGTTGTGTTGATGTTGTGTTTAACCCTCTGGTTACTCAATTAAAACCCTTTTGGTAAACCTATTTAATAAATATTCTTTTTGAACAGTTCTCTCCCGAACTGCTCGTGATATTCCGCAGAGTCAGTATGCCCTATCCGGAGGTCAGGTACTTAACGAAACCAATTTGAACTTATCCGAGCGACTGGATGCTTTGGCCACTCTTTTGGCCTCAACAGCTATCAATGTCAGATCCGTGCAGGTTGAAGTTGGCAATCTGGCAAAGGTTATTAGGTAAGAGTTATTACTCTTTTAACGATCAAAGTAATCATTATGATTATCATGCAGGCGCCAGACCCGCGTGATCCATGGAAAAGGTCAAAAGGCGAGCGTTTCCCAGTCGCCCATCTTCTACGGACCAGCCGGCCAGTCAGTGCCCAACAGCTGCGCCTTTCACATTCTGGCTGTTGATGGAATCCTGAAAATCCAGCTCACGCCCGAATCGGAGTCCTTCTACGTTTCCTGTGATGGGGACTGGACGGTTATCCTGAGCCGCACTTCCGATGATGTGAACTTCGAACGCGGCTGGCTGGACTATCGCGATGGCTTTGGCAACCTGGCTGGGGATTTCTTTATTGGCCTAAACAAACTGCATGCCCTGACCTCATCCGGCTTGTATGAACTTAGGATTGCGCTGGAGGACTTTTCGGGCAACGTGGCATATGCGAGCTATTCGCTATTTGCCATTGGCAGCGAAAGGGAGTCATTCCCCCTCATTCTGTTGGGCAAATTCCAGGACAACCCGCTCATTCCAGCGGGAGATTCCCTGTCCTATCATGCCGGAGCCAGGTTCAGTACTGTTGACCACGATAACGACAACTGCCTGGACTGCAACTGCGCCTTGAAACATAAGGGAGCTGGATGGTATAGCAACTGCGCGAAGAGCAACGTTTTTGGTCAGTATTTGCCCAATGCCCAGACTGGAGAAACTGGAATGTGGTGGGACACCTTCGCTGGTCAGAATTCTCTGAAGAAGGTCCGATGGATGATACGCCCCGTTGCCGAATCATTAGATGACGCCAGGCGATAGGATCAGTCCATGTCCATGCCCAACTGCCATCTCCTAAATCAGGGATAACCCACAATCGATTGCTTGCATTTTAACCCTAGCTTTAGCTTTGAATCTCTCTGTGCGTGTGTGTGTAATATTTATGGAAAATTACTTAATACCTAGATAATACAGTAATGTTACGAGTACCCACCTGAACGTACGTCATATCTGGGAGATTTCCCCTAATCGGTCGATTAGCGGAACGCATACCTGTTTCAAGGTATAAATAGTGGGGGTTTTGGGTGGGAACTTTAGTTACTCGATAGGGTTAACTAGCCAACTTCGAACATGGTAAAGACCGGCTTTTGTCTGGTGCCGATTCTGTGCCAGTTTCTGGGATTGCAGGCAGCTCTGCTGGACACCTTGCTGAATGAAAGCAATATTTACTTTCTAAAGCCATCGGCGGATGTTCTTTTGGGGAATGTCGATCAGTTGGCCTCGGTGGAATCTGTCAAGTTGATTGTGCATGGCTATCTGGGATCTCGCACTCATGGCTCAATTATGCCTCTGAGAAATGGTAAGAATTCAAATGGGAATCGTATCTGAATATTGCATTAACCCATTAATCCCGAAGCCTATACTGCCCAAGGCTATGACAATGTCTTGGTGGCTGACTGGGGTCCTGTGGCCAATTTGGATTACCCAACCTCCCGTTTGGCTGTGAAGAAAGTGGCTCGAGTTCTGTCGAAATTATTAGAGGATTTTCTTCAGCGACATGGAGTATCTCTGGATGGAGTTCATGTCATAGGTCACAGCCTGGGAGCTCATATTGCTGGACTAATCGGAAGGTATTTCAATGGAACTTTAGGCAGAGTTACAGGACTGGACCCAGCTCTTCCCCTCTTCTCAAGTCGATCGGATGACAGTTTGCACTCGAATGCCGCTCAATTTGTGGATGTAATCCACACGGACTATCCCTTGTTCGGGGATATAAGACCTCGAGGAACTGTGGATTTTTATCCCAATTTTGGTCTGGCTCCTCAGCCGGGATGCGAAAATGTGGATGTCGTTGCTGCCAGTAAGCTACTTCATGAGGCTTGTAAGCTCTTCTTATTAACTAGTTACTATTTTATACTTTTTTTGTTCATAATTTTTAGATAGTTGCAGTCACAATAGGGCAGTCATGTTCTATGCTGAATCCATTGGAATGCCAAAGAATTTCCCTGCGATTTCCTGCAGTTTGGTAGCCATTAAGAGTCGGCATGCTGAGGACTGTTTAAGGGAAAAATCAGAATCGAAGAATGCTGAAAAATCTGAAGAAGAGCAAACAGTTTTCATGGGCGAACATGTCAGTCGAAGGTTAGTAAAAATTATTATTAAAATTTCAGATTCTAAAATTGATGCTTGCTTATCCAGCGCCACCTCGTATTTCTATTTGGAAACTAATGCAGCGCCTCCCTACGGCCAAGGCAGGAACTCGCGGTTTTAGCTTGTCTTTTGAACTGGAGTCATAGATGGCGCTAGCTAGCCATCTAGGCGTCAAGTGATGGTTGTTTCCTACAAAATCTGGCAATATTTTTCCAAAAACTGAAAACTATTTGCTTGAAAGAATTCTTGGTTAATTGAAGTGAATTAAAAAGCTGACAAGCAAATTTAAACAAATTTGTGAAACTTCCTCTTTTCGGATAAAATATACTGAAATCTCTAATGCATTCCTTCTTTATTAAGAGAAGACATTAGCACGAATCATTAGAAAATTACCCTAATCATCATCGTCATATAAATTCCATCTAGTAAAATTTCTCTCCCCCTGCCGCAATCCACCCAGTTTTTATTTCACTAAATTCCTGCTCAATCAGCAAATGAATTTCAATTTGCAACGACCATCGTCCTTATTAGAACCTGCAATCAAAAGTTCCGCAAGCCCAACGGTTCATAAATCACATTCATTTTATGAATGAAGAGAACAGGCATCGCCCCACCACGAGATGCAGCCTGGATGCCTGGTGGGGGCTAGCTACAGACTCTGGGGTTATTTATGGGCCAATAACTTTACAACTAAACGCTCATCTACATTTAATGGCGATAATTTTTGACGCAATTCGAGAAGCAGACACCTCGGCGGTCTTGGCCTCTTGGATCCTAACCTGCCAGCCCGAGTTGGCCTACAAACAAGAGGCAGCAACCGCAGAAGATAACGCAAAACACTTGACACCTCAGCCTCGGCAGTGCGGTGGTGAGGTGGTGCGGTGGTGCTTCTGCCCCGCTTTTGTTTCCTTTGAGTCGCCATCGGGCAAATCCACTGAGGAAAAACTTATAAGACGAGGTTAGTAAAATTGCTTTGCACTTACATTTTCAAAATTATTATATTATAACTGATAGAGTGGGTTGCTTAGGTAATAAATTAAAAAATGAAAACATTTAAGTATTTTAACCTTCAGAAGTTTCTTTCAGTGCACACAATGCGTGAGGTAAGTATATAGAAGGAGAGGCCAATAAAAAGAGCACCAATGAGGAGAAGTAAACAAAGGCAGCGATCGTAAATTCCCGGTGAGAAGGCAAATGCCACTAAAAGGAAGAGGAATGCTGTAAATTTGGGGATTTCGAGATGGCAACAGCTGCCTGTCGATCGGATATCCAAGCAAAAGGTGGGTGGCTCAGGTGTTGCAGGTGGTTCAGAGGTGGATCAAGTGGTTCGATGGCGATCACCCTTCATCTAAATCGATCGGAGAGCATTGTTTGAGTCCACAAATCGATTTCAGGCTTCATTAGCCGGCCGCCCTGCACAGGAAACTCCCGCATTTTGTCCGAAGCTTTTCCTTTGTTTTTCCATAGCAATCCAGCAAGTTAGCCGCTCTATTGATGCTCGGTCAACCAGCGAGTTTCTGTTTTCCGTTTCTGTTTGCTGAACGTTTTCCCTTTGTTTACCGAATGCCGCGCGCCAAAGTCTCGACTATTTTTTTTTGGGTTTTTTGCTCTTCTCATATGCGTTCTCAATATTTCCATCATTTCCCTTGACGCGTTTTCCCCATTTCCACGGCAGTCCGCTTTTTGTTCTGCCACCACCTTCCTTCCCTGAAATTTGTGTCATGCGTTGGCTTTTCCTGTCCGCCACTCGTTTTGCCTCTTCCTCTGGCTTTAATTTCTGTTTGCTGGGAAAGTAAAACAAAGCGAGAGTTGTTGACTTTTGATTCTGGCGATGGCTGAATGGTTGGGTGGTTTGTGGAATGGGGGTGACCCTGGTGTTCAGGGGGGTTAAAGGGGGCTAAGAGGCCTCTTAAGAGGGTACGTGCCAATGACCAATGTTCTGCTCTAATTCAAATTTCACGCGAGCTGTGTTTTCGTTTTCTGGGGGATATTTAAAAGATAATGTTTCGTTCTATTAATGAACTTAAATCAGCAAAGATTACATTTGAAAAATGAGGCTAAGTTATGGACTGGATAATACTGTCATTTTGAGGGGAAAATATGAGATCAAGGGATCATCTTTTTTTGGGAAAAATTGTCAAAATTTGACATTTTAAACTGTGAATGCAGTTTTGTTGGAATTTTAATTACGAGTCTAGCGATATATTACATTCCATACTCCGTACGTTTTTTACTTTGTGGTGGGAAGAATTGTGATATTTTGGGGAGACAATCAGACTTCTGAGTTCTGACAGCAAATGCCCCTTTTTTATCGGTGTTATACCTATAACTTAGTTAAAACAAGACGCACAGCTAAAAGGAGGACTGTTTTGTGAATCTAACGACCGAAACAAACTTTCCTTATCATTCGTTTGGTAATTTTTGGATTTTTTATTTTTGTCCATTTTTTGAATTTTTTGTAAGGGGTAACATCATCAAAATATGCAAAAATTCGCAACATTTTTACATTTTAAACTGTGAACACAGTTTTGTTGGAATTTTAATTACGAGCTTAGCGAGGTATCACATTTCATATTCAGACCATTATTGGCGGAGTTATGGGAATAATATTGAGACTTTGAGGGGAAAATCTGAGAAAACCAATTTTCGTATTTTCGATAAGGGGTAACATCATCTTTTTTTTCGAAAAACGGCCAAAATTTCACATTTTAAACTGTGAATGCAGTTTTTTTGGAATTTTAATTTCGAGTCCATCGATATATGACATTCCATACTGCGTCCGTTTTTTGGCTTTGAGGTGGGAAGAATTGCGATATTTTGGGTAGTTCTGACAGAAAATTCTATTTTTTTTATCGGAGTTATACCTATAACTTAGTCAAAAGAAGACGCACAGCTAAAAGGAAGACTGTTTTGTGAATCTAACGACCGAAACAAGCTTTGCTCATCATTCGTTTGTTGATTTTTGGATTTTTAATTTTTGGCAATTTTTTGAATTTTCTGTAAGGGGTAACATTATCAAAATATGCAAAAATTTGCCAAATTCTTACGTTTTAAACTGTGAATACAGTTTTGTTGGATTTTTAATTACGAGCTTAGCGAGGTATCACGTTCCATATTTGGACCATTATTGGCCAAGTTATGGGCATAACCCTGGCATGCTGAGGAGAAAATCTGAGATAACGAATATTCGCATTTTCGATAAGGGGTAACATCATCAAAATTTGCGAAAAATGGCTAAAAATGTGCTTTTTAAACTGTAAATACAGTTATGTTGGAATTTTTATTTCGAATCCAGCGATATATGACATTCCATACTCCGTCCGTTTTTGACTTTGTGGTGGGAAGAATTGTGATATTTTGGGGAGACAATCAGACTTCTGAGCTCTGTCAGAAAATGGTCTTTTTTTTATCGGTTTTATTCCTATAACTTGGTTAAAACAAGACGCACAGCTAAAAGGAGGACTGTTTTGTCAATCTAACGACCGAAACAAACTTTCCTTATCATTCGTTTGTTGATTTTTGGATTTTTAATTTTTGTCAATTTTTTGTCATCAAAATATTGCAAAATCGGCTTAATTTTCACATTTTAAACTATGAATGCAGTTTTGTTGGATTTTTAATCACGAGCTTAGCGAGGTATCCCATTCCATATTCCGACCATTATTGGCTAAATTATGGGCATACTGCTGGCATGTTGAGGAGAAAATCTGAGGTGACTAATTTTCACATTTTCGTCTTTTTTTGAAAAAATGGCTAAAATTTGACATTTTAAACTGTGATTGCAGTTCGATCAGGAATTTGAAAACAAACTCAATGAGGTATGGCATTCTATATTCGGGCCATTATTGGACGGAATACTGTCATCATTTTCGGCCATTTCATGAAGGAAATGCTTTGTTTTGGGAGGAAGATCGGGAATTACGAATTTTTGCTATTTGGATAGGTTCTATATTGTGTGTTACATACTTTGCAAGCTTTGTTATAAAAAAACAATTATATATTATAAGAATTCATAAAAATGAATTATTCCCTCTGCCAGTTTCTTGTCCTTTTACCCTGCCTGTCTCACTGGTTAGCCCCTGCTGTCGTCTTTTAACTTATATAATTCCTCACATGTTTTGACACATTTCTTAATGGCACCCAACACACGCACACTCATGCAAAGACACAGGTAAAAAAGGTAAAAAAGGAGCCCAAAGGCAGACAAAATGAACAAATGCAAACACAAAGCCGAGGAGACAAGAAGAGAAATGATATTGTAATTGGCAATCGTTGTTGTGCATAAATCACATGCATAAATTTCCGACCTGAAGGCATATTCTACAAAGGCAAGAGTCCCCCACCCCAAGTCCTTAACCCCCTACTGGCCCCTCAACGTCGTTAGTTGAACTCGAATGTTGTTTTCCAATTGGAAAATTTTTCATTAACTAATTGAACATTTTATGGCAGACGGGGGGAAAGGAAGCGGGTGGCAAGGACCTGCAAGCAGTTGCGGGGAGAGAGTCACAATGGCGCCAATATTGAATGGCAAACAGAAAGGAAAACCCCAGCCCCCGGGTTCCCACTTTCCGCTTTTTCACCTCTCAAAAAAACAGGCCATGGCAAGACAATGAACGGACAATGTTAGACAGCCAGGACACGAAAGGACGATGGCCCAAATGGGCAAACAAACACAGGCACACTCATATAGCTAGCTGATATCCTGTGGGTGTCGCTGTGCCAGTATGTGTGTGCCTTGTATCTGTGTTTGGCCACAATAATTTACGAGCACACGCTTCGCTTCCGTTTTGCAGATGCTCTTTGGCTTTCGGGGAGTATTTGGATGGTTGTTAGCTTCGTTAATCTATAGGGTATGTCTAAGTTCGTATTAAGAATCTTACTGGATCAAAAAACATTGAAAATATAACAAATTTTTAGGTGTAGTTTCAGTTCTGCCTACAAAGTATAGATTATTTTCGTACATTTTCCCATAAAAACTACTTTTCAAGGTTCTAAGAGTACATTTTTTATTTTTCTCATTTAAATAATTTACGCATTTGCCTTTATGAATATTCAAATACCGATTTATTGTTATTTTTTTCGCCATATAATCGATTTGCCCTAAAGGCGCCAATTTATTGAACTGTCATATAAATTATAATATTTTTTAGATATTTATGGTAAATATTTATTGTCTTGACACCTTGCCGTATCATTAACTTATTACATTTGCGTAAGTGAAATTTATTAAAATTTTCCACAAACTGCCCGGACGTCACAAGGTATTCCCTTGGTTCATCATTATGGCGTGGAGGTTTTGTTCTTCTTTTAATATACAAATAAAGTTGGAAATTTGCATAACTGTCTGGTCTGGTTTTGGGTCTGGGTGTCCTCTTCGGTGTCCTATACCTCCCTTGCCCATCCGTTAGCCACCCTTTCCATTATCCTGGCGGATATTAAACATTAGCGCGTGCTGGACACATCCTCGTCGTCCAACCACCCGACTCCTGCCACCAAAAATAATTAAGGTGAAAATTGCTGTCGACACGCAAGCCCCCAACGAAAAGGTGGCAAAGGTAAAAAGCCAAACTGAGGCAAAAACCAAATACTGAAAATATTTCATTTTTGTTTTTTGGGCTCTGCGACTCTGCGACTCTGAGAAATGACCAGAAAACGAGAGAAAAAAGCAGCTGATAAACCGGACGATTGGAGATGACTAATGAAACCTATTAGCCCTGTGACAGATGAGTTAAAGTCGCTGGGAGCTGTGACCGCGATGATGGATAAGCTCATTAAAGACAAAGGCCCGGGGATCATTACCGATCATTCGGTAGCGGCTCCTTCTATGCTGACCTCTGGATTAATTGAAATCCCCCGGTGGTCAAATGTGTTCCCCCACAAAAACCCAAGTGATAAGCTCGTTTTTGACATTTTCTTTATCAGTCTAGTGGAGTCGAATCAATCAAGTCAGCAGGCTCAGGCCATTCACGGCATCTGTGGGCACTCGGAAATTCCACTGGCGCTTCGAGGGCTTCGGAATGCGTTGGTTCAGGAAGAAACTGCGTCCGTAATCGACGGGATTCAGCCTCCGCACATAGCCCTCTGGCAGATTATCCACATGGCAACTGATCTGCAGATACTCCACAGAGTCATCCGCCATCAGTTTTTTCAAGGTGCACTATAAGAGGGGATTAGTATATACAGTAGAACTTTTTTGAGACTATCTTACATTATCTGCCTGATGCACCAAATCGTCTTGGATCTCCAGGATTTCGTCACGATGAGAAGTTAGAAAGGCTGTTGGTAATGGAAACCTTATATAGTACATATATTTTCCTGGCTAAGCTAAACTTACGCTCTTTATGATGTATATAACTGTCCAATAGCCGGATGGCCAAAAAAGATACAGCTATGAAAAGCAGTATGAGGCAGCGTCGGGAATTTGGACTCATTTTGGAAATTTGCTAGAGTTACTTGCCGAAAGAGAAAATTATGTTATGGAGAAGATGGAAATCTGGGAAAACTAAAATCAAGAACTACTAGATATCAAGCTGAACCCAAGATTTCGTCTTATTTTCCCCAGAATTCAGGTCTTATCATAGCCCCCATTAGGCCATAAAGCAAGTTTAGGGCGAATTGGCGCTAACCAAATCAAAGCCTTTCGGCTTTGTTCCAGCGCTGGTAAACTTTTCCAATTGGCCATAAAAATCAACAGAAAATCGCTTCATAGAGAGCCTTATAAACGAAAACAAATAGATAAGGAGGGCATTTTATGGCCACTTCACAACAGAAAATGATAAACAAATAGAAAAGGGCAGCCTTATATGGAAATTTAGTGAGAATTTGGGTTCACCACAGAAAATTTCATAATTTGCATGTCGCATTCGAAGAAAAGTTCTCGGCATTGATAAACTTTTCCAATTCGCCATAAAAATCGATAGAAAATCTTATGGAAATTTTCGGCTGCTCGCCGTTTTGGGTTTTGTGTTTGCTTTCTGTGTCAGTGTCGAATATCGAATCGAATAATGTCTGAAGTCTGGCCGATGTCTGTGCCGTCTGACGTGTACTGGTGGGTTTCTGGGTTTGGCCACAGATTGTTGTTACTTTTATGATTTAATTTCACACGAATTTATATTATTTCGGTGCAATTGTTTTGTGCGTCGTCGCATTTATGGTGTATCAGTGGTTTATGGCTTCTCGCCAAGGCTTCGTAGCTCTGAAAGAGATTTCACAACCCCAAAAACGGAAAAGCCGAGAGAGACTTGTTAGCCCAATTAATAATAACTATTATTGGCCGTAGCCGTGGTTAGAGGGGAGATGATGATTTTGGTGTGGGAGGCCTTGGCTTTCTCTGCGTCTGCCCACAGCCAAGACTTAATTAATTGCCGCGTAAAATTAATTTCATTTCAATTGTGCAGTCGCATCATTAGCAGCTTGCCTCCCCCCTCTCCAAAGATAGTTGCGTCCCGAAACCTGCTGAGTAAGCAATGATATCGTTTGTAAGTTGCCCCCATCCCATAGAGATTGAAGATCCCCGATCCCATCCACTCTCAAGTGCCATATCGTTTTTACTTCGCTTTGAGTGGGCTCGAAAGGTGATTAACGCGATCATAGAAATGATGTCGGAGGAGTACCGCACTGGGGGCTCATCTTTCCAACACCTGAAGTGGGACAGGGAACGGGAACATTATGGAGGCCTTTCACTGGGAGAAAATGGGAACTAAAATGGCCATAGATCTAGTAAGAATTTTCCTGTTTGTTGACAGCCATATAAAGCGGGAGAACAATCGAAAGTGATAATATAAATGGTAAATAATAGATTGTCGATTATGGCAGATTGTTGGACTTAAAATAAAACTATAGGTAATTACTATCAATAATAATAAACACGCTTTCAGAGCTCCAAAGCCATTATTATCAGCAGGAAGAGGATGAAGTCTTGAGAAAATATTACGGCTAATAAAGCCATAAAAGGAAATAATAAATATGATGGCAAAACATTTTGTATTGATCAAGTGACTTGCAAAATGTAATAATCTAATGATTGGACTTTGGTAGTATTTATTTCTCTCTGTGTCGAAGATCGTTAGATGCTTAGATCATGACTCTTTCTTTCTTTCTTCTGCGTTTGCGCACGCGCTAAATGTCAAAAAAGTGCCCATGAAGCTGTGGAAGAATCAGCCGCCTGCTGTTTACGGTACCAAAGCCATATCTCTGCGCCTCCCCTCTATGCCACGCCCCCCCGCCCCCAACTGAAAGAGACACGCCCTCAGGCGGGCCGCCCACTTGGAACATGTCGAATCATTCATTCAACGCCACAAAATGTGGGCTGCGAGGTGTTGAAAGGCGAGAGGCGAGGAGCGAAAACCAAAAACCGAAATACAAAATCCGAATCCGAAATCCAAAAGGCATTTTGTGTGCATTTGTAATTTGTGGAGCTGCACAGCACTGGGCTGTCATTATTTTCTGTAACATTTAGCGAAATCATTAATAATTGTTGCCGCCGCAGCAGCGACACAGATACGCACTTAAAAATTGTCAGACGACAACGACTATGGTGTTAACTTGATTAGCATTCGCATAAATTTCGCAGTTGCATCTTGCAACGCGACTCGACATTTGCATAGAATGCACATTTCGGGGCACCGATTATTCGGCCTAACTAACATATCTCCGATCTCTGGCCATCGGGTTAGATGGAATTCGAGGTGGCCCTGCCCCAAATCCGAAATTCGAAAACCAAATTCCCCCGACTGAGATTTCAATTACCCTCGCATTATGCAAACAAATAAATTCGAGAGATAAGGTTAAGCCGAAGAAATTATGAAAATATTTCCCAGAAAATGCGCAGACAAAACAAATTGCCGCGTAATCTCTGGGTCTCGTTTTCCCTCTTTCCCCCAAAACACAACTCCGGGTTGACAATGCAAGGCCCAAATAAATCGGAATCATTTGGGAACTTGTCCTTCTTTATCGGCAAGTGCCGCCAAGTGGAATCAATCAAGCGCAGAGCCATTTCCTTGGAGACTCTCGGTCGTGTTTCTTCTCATTTTATTCCGATTCCGAAGCGTGACAATATTTTGGCCACAATTCAAACGAACTGATCTCGAGGGTCTTGGCTGGGTAATTAATCATGTCGTTCTGGCCGATAAGTTCTGCTCGGTCGAGTGCAGTGAATTTCGGGGGAGGAGTGTCCTCCGATCTCCTGTCTCATAACAGGTACTTCACTGAGGGTTAGCCTTCCTCTTCGATCGTTGTGTGAGGTAAGAGATGGTGACCAGTGGCATCAATAAATCCAGGAGATAACGCTGCCGGGAAAATCAATAACCCTGCAAGGATGTGCGCTTCCAATTTGAATATTTATGGTGAAGTCTTCTGAGATCGACATAAAAGCGCCAAAATTGATACATTACAGGTTTTCGAGGGGACTTTCAGGGTGAAAAGTGAGTAAGAGGGGTTAAAATTAGGGGTGAATGATGAATATCATTCAGGGAAGTTTAAATGATTAAGTTGATTGCGAGGATAAGATGAGGAAACATGGTGTAGGGACACTAAAAAGGAAGTAAGATACTTATTTTTGTTAATCAGTTAATATTAGCATATATGTTATGACTAATCCTAATCATTTTATTAGTTTGCTTAGTGAATAGTTAGACGTTTGCAGTAGAAAAAGCTATTCTTACCGCATTTCCATAGTTTTCCAATAAATAAACGCAACACCCGTAAATATTTCAAAGCCCCTTAACCATAATAACGATATTTATATCCCCGCAGAGCGTGCATATCTTCTCAGCCACTCGCAGACAGTTCGTTCTAGGCCAAAAGCATTATAAATTGGCTGACATTTGTCAACCGGCGAACGGAGTCAAGTACGGACTTGGAAATGTGTCTTTGGCATATCTCACGGATGCCAAACGTAAGACAAGCAGCTCGGGAGCAAACAAAAGCTCGAAGACAAACAGACTCGAATGTATCTGGCAGTGTATCTGAGCTTGTATCTTGTATCTCGAGACGTCTGCGGCGGCATTAATGGCAAATTTGCACGAAGTCAATAGCGAGAAAACCGTAGTCAATTATCAATAGCTTCGAATATGGACGAATGTATCTGCGAGTCGCGTATGTGCGAGTGTAGATACTTTTGTATCTCGCCTGGTCTGTTGATGTTTCTTTTTGTTTTTCCACCTGCGTGTAGTGCCGTTGTTGATGTTGTTGTTGTTGTTGTTATTTTTCTACTTACTGCCACCGTGTACGCAAAAGTATCGCGCTCTCCCTTTCCAACCGAATGCCCCGTCCCGCTCGCTCGTTGAATCTTGTATCTTGTATCTCTCGCTCTTTTCGTCGAACGCCGATTGGCTGGCTTTTGAGTCTGCGCCGCTTTCCGGAGAGGCCACACCTCTGAAAACCCCCCTTTGAAAACCACGTTTGCGTGTTATCCCAGATACTTTTGGACCCCCATTTTCCCCCCTCCCGTGGAAAACATAAACTTGTGGCTCCCTAATGGCCCAAAAAAAAAGAAGAAGAAGGAATAAAAAATGCCAGGGGGTTGAGTCAAAATGAAAATGGCTTTTATGTGTGGCGTGCGTTGGGGTAATTTTATGATTCAGGGAATTACACGGGGAAATGACAGTCCTCCTTTCCAGCTCTCCTCGTGGAATATGTAGATACAGATACCTTTTAATTGTCGCTTTATTGATTTCCCTCAAAGAAAGCACATAAGCTGACTTAATTTATGCTTTAATTCTATTTAATTATGCTTTTCCACCATCAAAAACTGCATGGGGTCTATGAAGGATTCGCGTGCTATTTGGCCAGTTTTTATTTTTCGGCCAGAAAACTATCTAAAATGTGTCAAACCTAATGAACGGTGTAGTAAAGTGTTTTTAATACGGGGAGGATTTCTTTTTGGGGATTATGCTTGGTATGTCCTCTGATTTATTACTCTTTTAAGAGCTACCAGTTTTATGCTTTGGGCTATTACGGCTTTAAGAGTCTCTAACAGCTCTCTAACAGCTTAAAGAGTCCTCTAAAGGTCTTAACTATTAAGTTTAAGTTAACTTCTAAATAAGAATGAGATCCTTGAGCTGTATTTAATGAGCAATTAAGGTGCAGAGTTCTTTAATAACAAACTTTTTGGTTTTATTACCTCAGCAGGATAATCTCTTTAGATTTTACTAACAACTTAACCATTTATTTTATTACCAAATACCTAATACTTAATGATTTGTTATCATAAATTGGTAACCTAAAAATAAAGACTCATCTTAATAATCCAATAACTTAATGTCTTTCCAGCCCTTTCCTAGCTAAGTTTTCCTTTTATTTTTCACCCATAACCACCTCTACTGCAGTTCAAATCTAAAATGGCGAATCCCAGACGGCTCATTCAATTAAAATCGATCGCAGCTCTTATACCTCCAATAAGATCAGCTGGCAGGCACACCTGAGAGTGGCGTATAAGAGAGTTCGATCACCTGGGCAGTTAGAGACTTAAACACAGAGAGAGAGAGATAGAGGGAGAGAGCGATCCAGGAGAGCGGAACACCTGGTGAGCAGACACGATACGAAAGGTGAGTGAGAGCAGTGCGAAGAGCGGGCAGTGGAGGGTTAAGCGGCGGGTGTTAAGCGGCAGCTAGCTGACTGGCTTTCTGACTTTCGAGGCTCGTCTGCGCAAAACCCGCGCTCGTCCAATCAGTACTAACTCGGTTCCCGCCAGCGCAGTAACAACTTCGCCGACGAGCGCGTGAAATACTTGAATTCTCCTTTTTGATTAAAAACAAATTAAAATCAATCTGAAATCACACAAGTGCCTTAATCTATAGAGTATTTAGCAACGAATTTACTGCCCATAAGTACACCACATCCACAGGAACAAAAGATACAGATACGAATTGTATAACCAAGCCGAAGCTCATCGAATGCGGAAGTGAGCGAAAGCCGGCGGCTTTTTTTAATAATTTTTGCAATTAACGCAAAGGATAAAAAAAGATATAAAGATAAAGTGCAAACAAAACAAAGGGAAACAAAGAGTGAGAGAAAGTGATCGAGTGCCTTCATTTGCATATCCTTGCAAATCGAAATCAATTTAATAACAAAAAGCAATTGAATAATAAGAAAACGTGCCGCAATGTCTGTTGTTCGCAGTGCCATGTCAAGCAGAAGTATTCAATAATCATAATCCCGAAACCCAAAACCAGATTCCGATTTTGAATCTGAATCTGAATTTGAATCTGAATCTGAATCTTTAAAATTGATTAATCACTGTGCCTTGAACTGATCGTGACTCGTGAGTCAGAGCAGCGCCATTTAATTGTCCGCAAATATAAGTACGGAGCCCAGTTGCAAATTGTCGGGTTAAATATTGGTAGAATATCGGTAGAATCGGTGGAATCCCCCCTCCTCTCCCCCGCCAGGCATCGTTCCCCTGGCCAGCAGCAGTCGAGTGAAGCTTCATGCGAAAAACGCCGCTTAAATGCATACGGATATCATAATTGGTGATCAATTTGCCGCCAACAATAACTACTGGGTGATGCAGGTGAGTTTTCCTTACGGAAAAGTGTAAAAAATGGGGTTTAAAAAGAAGCTTGAAAATAGTGTGATAAGCTGTAGACCTAATCCGGAAGTTATAGTTTTAGAAACTTAGAATATTTTGAAGGAATAAAATAGTACATGAGTGTAGATCATATCAAACTTCAATCAAGACTTCAAGTCGATTCAGTTAAGCCAAAAAACCATCAATAATTTCAAACAAAGGAACCAAATAATTGATTAATTCAGCTGGCTTGTCTTTTTAACAAAATAATTTACAATATTAATTACCACAAAAGGATAAAAACATCTTTAAACTTTTAAGATCCTAAATGCCAGCCAATTAAATCGCAATCACTTGTTCCTTGTCAAACCGAATTCAAACGAAATCATCGTTAACCATTACGAGCAATAATTATAAACAAAATGCGCTAATTAAGCCGCTTTAATTGCAAATTAATTTTAGCCAAATTTGCCTGGCCAGACAATGAGCCAGCACACCAAACAAATCACATGGAAACCACCTTAAGCCCAACAACTTCCGCTTATCAAAATGCAAATCTTGAACAGACCAGATTTTTTGTCGATTTCTGAGCTGCGAGTACGCGTATAAATAAAACGCACGCGGCAATCACAAATTACAATAAAAAACCGAAAAAACAAATTAGCTCGATTATCGATTGAGATGAGGAGTTGATATATATGAGTATATGAGTATGTTTTTTCGAGTGTGTGTTTTCCCAGAGATTAACACCTTGGATTTCCTCAGGTGTTCCTTGGGGTTCCTTCGTTGCTTTCTTGTTTGTCAAAAGCGACAATCGATTTGTAAATCTCGTTATCACCTGCAGGAACTCTCGGCTCTTTAAGCCGTTTTCAAACACACGGTCGGTTAACTCTTTTGAACTTGTCCACACTTTTCACGCGCTCCGGTCCGAAGGGAAACTGTTGCTATCCTAACCGAGCCGATCCGATCCTCACTCCTCCTTTCAATATCCAAGCAATATCCATGTTTGCAGCCTGTTTTTCTGTTTTCCCGGTTTGTTTGCCTCAATTGTTTGACTCGCGCTTACTTGCGAAGCTCCGGGCAAATATTTGTCCACAACACTTTGCCAATGTGCCAAGTGTCCCCTCTCCGGACTCCTGACTGACGACTGGGTTTCATCATGGTCCCTATATGGCTATAGCTCGATCAACGATTTGGTGGCATTGATGATATTCGTTACTATGAGAACATAAATACCCACGACCATGGTGCGTATGAGTAATGCTATTTTCTGGGGAAGTGTTTATCCTGTTTATTAATAACCCGCTTAGTGTCAACACAAGTTTTAGTGTAGTGGAACTGATCGAAGGGAAAGGAGTGTTCTTGGCAAAGTTAACCTTGATAGGGGAAGTTTGTCTCTTGCAAATGTGGAAATTAGTTAGGTAAATAACCAATTGCTATTATTAACTATTTTTCATATCTTTTTCTTCAGTTTCACTTCCTTGATTTATATTCCATTCCCTGCTTTATCAACTTATCACTTTACAACCCAAAGTCTACCTGTCTTACGCCCATTGATAAGTTTGCCATCCAAGTCTTGCCTTACTCAACAAAAGCTAAGTGCCTCTTGCTGGCCCTCTTGAGAACACTTCCTTCCCCAAAAAGATAAGAAGCGAGTTCCTCAGAGAGGTGCATATATATACTAGTATGTGAAGAAACCCGAGACATTGGCGATTCCGGGGAAAAAAGGGTCGTAAAAGAGCTGGGTGTTCGACAAGTGTTGTTGCTTGTTCCGCCTGTCACCATCAATGGCTGCACTAATTAGGCATGTGTTGTCAAATATTTACAGACAGTCGCCAAAGTACAAAGCGCTGTTGCCCCCTTTTGGCCCGCCCCTTAGGAAACCTCTCTACTTCCTCCAGATAGTGTGAACTTCTTGGATGAGGGGGCGGGCTTCTTCCGTTTTCCACTGATTTAGCAGATATCGCGAGATATGGTAAGGTAATTCCCACGACTCAGTGCGATTATGACGAAAAACTTTCGTATTTTATGGCTAAGAACGAAATTGGTTTACGATCGCTTACAGAGAATTTCGCAGGCAATGAGTATCCAAGTATCTAAGTATCTGAGTATCTGAGTATCGGATACATTCAGTGAATAATGGAACTAATCAAGCACGTAGGCACACGGTTATAGCTCTGATTAATGGCCCTGAACCATTGTGCTTCAATCGTAAGTAATTAAATATAGATAAAGATCAGATAACTCGCATGTTGGGGCCTTTTTTGTCAGCACGGGTCTAGGATTTATGCAAATTATGTTCGCAGATTAAACGAAACTTGCAGTCGCTTTAGTGATTTGTCAATAAAAGATATTTTCTAATGCACAAAAATAAACGTATATGAGTTTATTGGCAATCTCTGAATCAATAGAAAATATTTGCATTCGCAAATCGCAAACAGACAAAGGCGGCCGCCTTCAAAAGAATCGGAATCGGTGATGAAATTTAACAAGAATTACAGCCACGTACAATTCACTGCGCCGTCTGCTCATCTGGGCCATAAAAAATCGTGGCAAATTAGATAGAAAACGGCCAAATAATGGCCCGATAAGATAATGATGTCCCTAGTAGACTTTCCATTTCGAAATGAGTTCAAGATTGGATCGAACCCCCGAAAAAAGAGCACCGATTGCCAATTACACACCGCCCAGACAATGGCAGTTAAATAATAACTGGAGTAAGCCATGAAAACAGTTGGCCAAAAATCTCATTAAGGCCCAGTGGGAGATCGCCCATCGCCCATAGATCGTTCAATCGATCGATTCCTATGAAAATTCCGCCTGTAATTTCGGTTTCCTCCATCACAATGCCAAGTTTTTTATTTAGTTTCTGGTCTTTGCCTTATTTTGATTTTGCCAATTTTGCCAATTCATGCAAATGAAAACGAAAACTGGCACACAAAATGCGCCAAAAATGGCACAAAGAAGTTGCAGAAAAAAATATCATTTATTTGCAGTCAGTTTTGATTGATTCGCCGCCTGGCCAAGTTGGAGGTCAATCGGGCCACGAGAATCAATCACTCGCAAGCCACGGAGTGCACACAGAACTTGGCTGGGAGTTATTGTGGCTTTAAAGATAGTTAATGATTGGGATTAGAATCTAGTTTAAGAAGTTTAGTTTAACTTTAAATCCTAAAACTGCGAAAATCTCTTGACTAACATCCCAAAATTTGTTTTCTGAAATAGAAATATCCTCTTTAAGCTTTGCGAAACAATGTCAGAAGCCCTAAGACAGGCTATCCATCAATCTGGTTTGGTATTTCTTAAAAGCCTTTCAATAGAATCCTCCAAATCAAAAATCTAACCCAATTCGAACCTTTCTCTTCTCCTTTTCTTATCACAATTTTATGGCACGTGAGTGAACATTTATTGTCCGAAAAGCAAACCCTTTTGGCCGACTAATTTCAACATTTTTTCGACTCGGCGAAAAGTATCACCTTAAATTTTTGATAGATTGCCAGGCCTAAGGCCATGTTTGAGTTCGGCGAATTATTGCGGAAACTAGTTTGCCCAAAAGTATAAAAAAAGGCTTTTTATGCTCGGAGAGGTGCTAAAACCCCCGCAACATTGAAGCGCAATTCGTTTCGAGTTTGAGGGGATCAAAAGCTCAGCGGATGACAGCGAATGGAATGAAATAAATTTTATTTAAGGCTCCGTTGCCGCATTAAGATCAATTATTTGATTATGAAACAAAATCTGCGTGAAATCTTCAAATAGTTGACCCAAGCCGATGTCAAATGCCGTCGCTGTAAATTTCAATTTCAGTCTCGGAGTCATTTCAACAACAAGGTGAGAAAAAAAACACATTTGATCGGGGCGCTGTGATAAAGCCATCATCGGATGGTCTCCATCGCTCGATCAGCTCGATCGGTCGTAAAACGCCAACAAAGGTTCAAACAAACCAGCCCGACTTGAAACCAAATTGCAAATTTAAATTGAAATCGAAACGAAATCGTACATTTCGTAAGGTACTATTATATATATATATATATATATTGGTATAATCTGTGGACCGATGGGAGATATCCGCAGCTGAACATGCGCCCAAAAACACTTCAATTCACATTATTTGCTTACTTAACTTTTATCACCCGGCCGAGATGTCTAAGATCGATCGATCGATCGCTAATTGCCAGAGTACAGAAAGGTACACCAAATGATCGAGAATTAGTCGAGAAGAGGCGCCAGGTACGAGTAGTCAGCACTGAGCATTGAGATCTCTGCTGGGCAATTGACCCACTAATAGGCCCTGTCAATAAACGCCTTTTGGCCATTGAACCTTCTAGCTGACCCTCCCCCCTTAAAGTTTCCTGAAAACACACAAATTAATTGCCCGCAAATCCTGTGTGCCAACGATCAGCATTTATTCAACAGTTTTCATTTCAAATTTTTATTGATTCCAAACAATCTACATGTTGCGCATGCCAGTTCTCTATGGGTTAAGAGCCCCTCGCCACTCGCTACTCGCCACGGCTGACCGCTTTTCCAGCTCTGATCGGAAATTGGTTTTGTAGGCCCTGGGTTCCAGGGCATTTCCTGTGTGTATATCTCTACTTGTAGTATTTTATTCATAGCTTCACTGGCCACCCCAATCTATATATCCGAATATTATGATTGCCTAGCGTGAAATTGTGAGAATATTTCCCAAGCGACGCGTCATCGACATCAATTAATGTTTTATTATGCATTTTATGTTTGCTATTGGTAAAGGATAGCAAAGGATATTCAATATCCCGGTGATATGCAATAGCTGTGCGAATGGTTTTATGCAAATGAGTGAGCGGGGGTGGAAAACTACAAGGGGAAACTACATTAAAGGACTCGAGGGAAGTGCTATAATGTGGTGGAAAACTAGCATGCTTATGGGTATAATATTTGTGGAAAAAACACCTTTTGGGATGAAGAAACTAAAGGGACTAAGGGGACTTCTTGGAAGAGAAAATCTCACGACGACAATTAACCTA